TAGCAAACAACATGGAGCACACTAACTTAAAGATGAGCAGAGCCAAAATGGAAACAGCTTTACCTCCAAAGCAAACAACATGAAGCACAATCAAACCATTATATGGCCTTTTCCTTGTACAATCCTTTCATTGCTTTCTTTACTTCGCCATTTTTTGGGGTACCTCTTTTTTTGTTTCGTCATGCAGCGCACCTGTTACAGTGCCTCTAATGTACAAGGCTCGCCACTTTTTTTTTTTTTTTTTTTTTGCCACATTGATTGTAGTTGAGTGCAAGTTGCCCACATCCCCGTGTGCCATAACGGCCGACTTGTATGCCATGAAACGAGGAAGAGTGAAGGGGGCGGTATACTCCTGTTCAGTTTTCCTCAGATTGTCAGCTTATATTTTGCCCTTTTGGCAGTAGTACACAACGGGAGGGAGGGGTCGGGCCCTTCGGGGGCTGGACTCCTACAGGAAGCGATGGAGGGGAGAGTGAGAAGGGGAAGAGGAGGGATTAGAAGTGGACAAGGAATAGAACAGAGGAAAGACACAATTCAGAGGGTTCTCAATACTTACAGCTCGAGCAGACTACTCTAGAATGGCACAAGAGGCCAGTCAGTGTTTGGGTTGCAGGCAGTGTTGCCTACCCGCCCCTCATACCCCCAAACCACCCCCCAACACCCTCATACTCCCCCCCAATACCCCCTATACCACCCCTATACCCCTCTATACCCCCCTATAGCCCCTTATACCCCCCTATAGCCCCTCCCCCCATACCCTCCCATACTCCCGCATAGTACGGCGCATACCCCCCCCATGCATCCCCAAAAGTTTCTCAGCGGATTTGGGCTGTGCTCACCAATCGCAGTACAGCCCCCAACTCAGATTTGAAAAAAAATCAGTGGGTGGGTGTTTTCTGAATGGTCGGCAGACCACCGACCATTCGGCCGTACTGGTTGGCTGCAAAATGGTTGGCGATCGGGGTCGGCGGTCGGGGTCGGCAGTCCGCAGATATGCACCCCTGGTTGCAGGGACATTTGAGTTGAGGAGCAGCCGTTTGCCCGTTGCCTATGGTGAGTGGCACCGCTACAGACCGCACAGGACTGGTTTGAATGTGGACTGTGGAAGCAACCCATTGAATTCTCGCAGTTGCAGTTGCTGCATCGAATGGCACGGCGTACAGAGATTTCACAGGCTACCTGGGGCTCCATGGCTCCTACATGCAAGGGACACACAAGCACACCAACGGCAATTGTATAGGCATCGCCGTTCCCGCCCCTGTCGACAAATAGGACATGCCATGTCAGGGTGCCGTACACGAGTACAATGTTGACTGTCATCATGTGTACGAGAAAAAAAAAAGTTGCATGCCAATGCATGGGCTATACCTCCATAATACTCACGACAAAACACTTGCCTAAGAAAGCTCAAGCAAAGATCTGACCGTCAATGCTTCTGAAGGAAACCAATCAATGCTGTCAGATTCTTTTAGGAAATAGTGGTAGAACAGTGGTAAATTCTCCCAATTGGGTAGTAAAATAGTAGTAATCAATGCCGCTGCAATCATCTTGAAATCCACTCAATTCTGACTCCAGCTCCAATCACGTCTTTGAAATCCACACACACGCACATTTAACAACAAGCAGCGAGATAGTCATCATCCCGAACTCAGGATTACATGCAAGCTATCGCCGCCATTCTTCCTAAGGCTTCTCTCTCAGGTAACTCTCTCTCTCTCTCTCTCTCTCTCTCTC